ATGTTACTACACCCAAAAATCCTTTTTTTCAGTGTAGTCTTCATTTGAAGGTGTAATAAGAGGTTTGCACAATTAATCACAAAAATATTGTTTTTGCCTTTTTTTTTTTTTGTCATTTTATATCCCTTTTTAAAAACAACCCATTTAGCTTTTTTTCTGGACGGGTAGTATGGTTGAAACAAAGTAGCCGTTGCTGAAGAATATTTGCTTCTTTTGAAAGCCATTATTTCWTGAATAGAACCAACATTGTATACTGTATATTGAGACCATAATTAAGTTTGTGTTAACAGAAAAATTTAATCAAGTCAGCCACTTCAGGTTGCCAAAAATAACTAGAAGTTGCTCACTGATTGTTTGGCATTCAGCTGGTGATGCTCAGCTTTAAAYATTTCGACCAAAAGGAGGAAAAGAAAGTAAATTTCTATAAAGTCAAACTTTATGACACARTAGAGAAAAGGGGGAAATGGGCAAACATTTAAAGCATAGGTTTAAAACCTAAACCACTTTCACTTTATAAGTCTGGTAAGTAGCTGATCAACAATAATTTATAAACTTTTGAAACTTCAGTGTAAAATGTTGATTATAACTACCATTGCTTCACATTCAATGAAACAAATCACAGTGCAGTGCATATTTATATATATATATATTATAAAATAGACACTGATAAAATGACAGCTTCCTAAAATTCCATTCATATTCTTCACTGCTCGAYGGTAACCTCTGTCATAATGACAGGGAAACCAAGGAAGTGAAACCAGCCTTAATCCTGGCGTTACACTTCGAATCCAACCACAGCTCACCTCTCAAGGGGAGAGGTTGAGAAAGTTAAACCCGCTCTAACACTCAGCTTGAGTTCATCCACGTTAATCCCGTTGTAATCTGGATCAGAACATGAGGGTTTACGACTAATGACAGCCAACTAGTTAGATTTCAGTGGTTCGCTGCAGCTTGGTTTAACCATGGATTAACAGGGCCTATCTAGMACTAACGTTGAATAACACGGAGTGGAGAAGTTGCTCATGCAAAAGAACAAAAAAAAGAAAAAGAAAAAAAAAAGGACACAAACCAGAGAAGACAGAAGTCATCAGAGGTGATTCTTTTCTTTAGAGTCAAAAAAACTTAACTTCCAGGACAGGTGGATGGCTGTATGTGTGTGTGGACTGGTTAAAACTAATAACTCAGCCCATGCATTTTATTTTTTACCATAACTGCAGTGCATAATCAATATTTTACTGAAAAGCTTACAATTACACAATATAACACACAAACAGTATGAGGTAATGAATCATTTACCTGCTTTTTCCAATTATTTYGTAGCTTTATATATTCTCCCCACTAGCTGTGTGGCAGTGTTTCCTTCCCTCCAATTAGTCCAATATTTTAAAGTTCATTCATTAATGGCTCTGACGGTGGATAAAAGACCTCCTAACAAGGCTTAATGCGGACACTATGGCTTCCTTGTGACCATAATTAGAAACTTGTGCTTGGAAGACACAAACAAGTCTCATAAAACATGCTGGAAAACACATTTGGCTCTCTGAAGTCCTGACTGACCTCATTTGTCCTGTCATTTGAGTGTTCATAGCTGCCGCATGACTGCCCAAGACAACCCTCAGTCGGTAATAACTTTATTTTAATCATCTTACTTAAATCTCCTGTTCCACTCTTTTTGTGTTTATTCATGTTTGGATCTAATTAGATGTGAAAAGTGGACAAACAGAGGCATAATGCTCTCTTGTTTGGTAATTCTGATGATGTAGATGGAGACATGCATGAACTGAGAACAAAATAAAACTTGTGATTTAGATCTAAGTTGCGTCAGTACRTTTTAATTTGGTTTTGCAGGGTAATCACAGGATTAATGCAGTAGCTGATTTTGTTCAACTGATAAAGTGCTGAAAGAATAAAATAGTGTGTCTTGTAGGAATCAGTCAAAGACTTAAATAATCAACTGTACATCTACAGCTAATTATGGAATTGTTTATTAAAATATGTCCAGTAGTTCATGAGATAATTTGCTAACAAACCTGATTCTAAYAGTTATTGCTGAAGTTTGTATTCAAACCAGGAAAGTCCTTTGGTCCACTTGTTTGGTCCGGACCGAAAGCGGATTCTTTTTTATTCTTTGGTGTGGTTTTCATTCTCATTGTACTTTTTGCAAGTGAACTATAATTAAAAAATAATAATAATTACATAAAGATGGTGTTAATACAACTGACTATTTAGAAAATGAAGAGCAGTTCATTCAGTGGTGGTTTTGCGATGATTGGCATTGTCGAATGTGTGCCGCAACCTAAAGGAGACAAGAGGCTCYGCGTTCTCTGACCCACAACGGCTCATTTTTTGTAGCGCAGTGTTAGCGTTAGCAAAAAGACACGTTTCCCATAGTTGTTTCAGTTYGAGGCTGGTCTGTTTTCACACCAGGAGCAAACCGCACCAGAGTTYGTTTGGAAGCGAACCGAGACCACCTCAAAAAGGGGTCTCTGTCCGGTTGTTTGATCCGCACCAGGGTTCACGCGAGTGTATTCACACCTGCATAAAAGCTCCGGACCAAGGACAGAAACAAACTCTGGTCTGTTTAAATTGGACCAAATGTGTCAGGTGTGAATGCACCCTAAAACCCAGATCAGTTAGTACTCAGACTATGAGCTGAGGATCAGTCTCAACTACTACCACATCATATTTTAGATCAGTATTTGTAAACCTGATTGGGTTATAACTAGGGGTGTAACGAGATCTCGCTATACAAAATCTCGCGATACTATACTTCTGTGATATCTCTCGTTGAGAGGTAACTGTTGTCTCGCTAACTCGCTAAGTGTTGCCAACTTAGTGACTTTGTCACTAGATCTAGCGACTTTTTAGACCCCTCTAGTGACAAATCTAGCGACTTTTCCGAGTGTTTTTGGAGACTTTTAGAAGCTTTGGCGACAGCCCTTTCCAAGCACTTTTCTCCTTTTCTCTTTTTCTCCTCCTCTCCTCTGCGAGAAGTAAGCCCCTCCCCCTTCCTAAAGCAGTCGAACCAGAGCCCTAGAGAGAGATCTGATAGATGTTCATAAAGGAAAAAACATAATTACTTATTTTGTTTTTCTATTTATGTTGAATTTTCGGCAAGTTTAAATGTCATAGAATAAGTAAAGACATAAAKAAAGGGAATAATTACTTATTTTGTTTATTTATGTTCAGTTTTTGGAAAGTTCTGCATGAATGTCATTTTTTATATGATGTTGGAAGGCCATGCATAGTTAAAGCACTGTTCTAAGGTCTAAGGAGATTCAAGAAATCAGAAAAAGGAAGATATCAGTTGAGTTTGTAATAAAAAAATGTTAAAACAGAATAAAATCATTTTTGCAGCATAAAATCGATCTTTAAAGTTTTCTTGAAACTAAGATTAAAATCTCATCTTGTCTCGCAAACTCAGTACTGTGTCTCGTCTCCAGAGTTTTATGTATCGTTACAACCATGTCTGAGTTTGCTGTAGTCACTTTGCTGCAGCCACAGTCAGTTCAATTTAAAAAAAATCAGTGATTCATGTGATATTTTACTAATTTCTTAGAAACATGCACACACAGACAGACAAAAACATCATTGCATTGCCGTTGCCTTAGGCAGCAGGCAATATTGAGCCATTCTTGAACTTTTCTAACCCAYAAATCTCTAAATTCTTTGTGCTACATGGCATTTTGTTCTGTTTCACTGCACTGTAAAGCTGAGTGCTGATTCACAGGCGATGGATCACTTTTGTTTGGAGAGATTAAACATCTCCTTCTGAGGGAGCTAAGACGAGCAAAGGTTCCTCCTTACCTGCCGCTGAATAAAGTGAAGCTGATTGAACAGCTGTGGCTGTTCTCCATCTTTCTGCTCCTTCGAGCGGTTGACGTCTCCAGCTGCTTTGCTTAACTGACGGGCCTTATCCTCATGTGCCCTGACTTCGCAGTGCAAGTGTCTGACCTCTTCTTCCAGCAATGTCACCTAAAAAAAATAAAAGGGRAAAGCATTGTCTGCATATGGTCGGCTACACACAAATAACACAAACAGAGAAGTTAGTGAGGGCGTGGCAGGATCCAAAAAAAGTGATGGGAGTCATGTTCGAGTCAAACAGTTCCCCGGTTTCGCCTCGGGGCCTGGAGGGAAAATATAGGCACAGCAAACATTAATGAGTAACAATTCGCTTTTCCTTTAGTCCGACTTTTGAGAAGCCTTTGAGCAAGGTGCTGTGCCTCCCACTGCTCTGATGCAGCTTCGTAGGTAACAGAGTGAGACTGTAGCTCGTTTGGGCTCTTCCCTTGAGTAGATGTTTGCAACGATGTGGGTGTAAAACAGGATACTGATAAGAAAAAAGCAACAAAAAGGGTGTGCACTAAAGCTAGCCTCGGTGTATGAAAGGAAAACAATGCAACAGAAAAAAAAATAGCAAGAAAGATTTCAAACCCCTGTAGAAAGACATTTAGGCCTTAAGACAAACTCAAACACAAAAATATCCAATCTGACAAAAAGCTGCATTATTTTTCACAGAATTTGGGRAGAAGAAAACTTTTGACAGAAGCAGGAGGGTTTTTTTATTTATAAACTTTGCTTAGCTCAATAAATCAGCCACCTTTTTTGTTTTAATGTTGCTTTATGTYTTTTTATCGCCTGCAGCTGGAGGCCAAGGCAGAGCGATAATGTTTTTGCTCGTCTCTATGTTCGCTTGTTTCACTGTATCCTTAGTAAAAAAAAAAAGTAAATAAAAAATACTGCATGCATCAATGAAATTTATAATAAATYTTCAAAAATGTATCACTTTTATTATATTTACAGCTGATTAACTTTCAGAGACAACCATAGTTGTCAAAGTCAGGCCAAAATTGGTATGGACATGTCCCCACCAACTTTGGCCTGACAGGGACAGTCCCCATCAATATTCACACTTTTTTTTCCTTTGCAAGCATCTACATTTGCCAACAGTAACTAGTTGTCAACTAGTGATCAAAGCTTTTTTTTTTTAGAAAAGAAAAAAAAACGTATGCTGTGCTCACTCTCACCCTTCCTCCCCACTTCTACAATGTTAGGTTTACATTTATGCCTTTAATGTCAAAATCTTAAATAAAGGGCAGTGGCTAGCAACCTGCCAAAGAATGATAACATAATTAGACTGATTTTATTTTATTTTTATTTTAATATGTTGCTAGTAGGGGCAATATGTTCATATCTTGAATTGATTGAAAAAAATATTGTTTGCACTCAAAAGGATCCATTTGACTTGTACAAAAGG